TTGCTTGGATTCCAGAATTCTTGGACGTGAGGTCATGCTTGCTTTTTAAAAATCATTCCTTATTGATATTTGACTCTAGTAATTTTCTGACCTCATCTTCCACCTCCACATTCTTTCTTCTGCTTGGTGATGCCCTTTGGAGATGCTTTCCATTTTTCAAATTTGACTTTTTGAAATTTTATTTCCTATATTTCTATTTGATTCATTTGTTTGTTTGTTCGTTCCTTCCTTCCCTCCCTCCTTTATCTCTCTTTCTCTCTTTCTTTCAGAATTTCGGTTTTATTGCTGAAACTGTCTTCCATGTTAAACTTTTCTTATCCACTTTGATGAGTTTTTCTTTTTTTTTTTTCTGACTTTGCTCTCCATTCTGGGTCAAACTCATCTGCCTGTTGGGATCGTTTTTCAGGTCAATGATCATTTTTACCAGAAACATTTTGAAATTGTCACCTGAAATGTTCCCTATTTTAGTATCTTTTAGCCCATTCCTGAGGGGTTAGGATCTCCTGGAGGTGTCATGTGCCTTGTTTGTTCATGTTTCTTGTGCTCCCACAGTACGGTTTGTGCCTCTGTCTGTGTATCTCTTCTGGTTTTTATTTGGGAATTGTACTGTCATGTGCTCTTGTAACAGCTAGTTTTATCTGACAACTTGACACAGTCTAGACTTGCCTAGGAGGAGATTGTCCTCCTCAGGGTGTCCTGTGGGCGTGCCTGTGGCGGACTGTCTTCATTGCTGCTTGTTGCAGGAAGACCCAGCCCCCTGCAGGTAGTACCCTTGCCTGGACAGGGCTTCCTGAATCAGACAGGACAGGAGAAAGCCAGTTGGGAGCAGGCAGGCAGCATGGGTTCATTCATTTCTTTCCGCTCTCCACGGTGGCTGTGATGTGACCAGTTAGCTCCTGCCTTGACTTCCCCTCGGTGATGGACTGTACCTGGAATGGTAAACCAGTTAAGTACCTTCCTTCCTGAAGTTGCCTTTGATCAGAGTATTTTATGACAGGAGCAGAAATGTCCCTAGAAGGCCTCTCTTGAAGGCTCAATCCCACGTTGTTCACGAAGGAGGAATCAGTCGCTAGAGAGGCGTCAGGAAACCTTACTAGATATAGAACACCACTTGAAACCCATGGTAGCCCACAAACACACCGCCAGTGGACACAAAACTGAGACTGAAAAACTGATGCAGATATGTTATAAATATGTTAAATAAGTTGAAAATCAGAGGGGCTGGAACAGTGGCTCAGCAGTTGAGTGCTTTCTTCTTTTCCAGAGGCCCTGGGTTCAGTTCCTAGCACTCACGTTAGACGACTCACAACCCCTGAAACTCCAGATCCTGGCATCCTATGCTCTCTTCTGTCCTCTTCTGTCCCTCACCACATGCGGTGCACATATATACACATGAGCAAAAATAGAGCCTTAAGACTATGTGGGGTGAGTATAAAGATAAGAAGTGAGACAGGAAAAAGAGGCAAGGAGGAGGGAGAGGAAAGCAGGTCAGATGCAAGGTAGGAAAAAGGAGAGGCAAGAGTGCCATGGAGAAAGGACAGAGGTTAGAAACTACACGGAGAAAAGAAAACGGGGGCTTCCAATAACGAAACAGCTCAAGAACGAAATTATAACAATGCTCCATGGAAAACAAAACCTAGAAACACGAGAGGGTTTGCTTTTAAGCCAGCAAGGAAAAGCTGCAAACGTGGGATGGCTGAGAGAAGGAGGGGATACAGGGAGTACATCAGAGAGGAGGGCTGGCAAGACGGCTCGGCAAGTAGACTCGCTTGCTGACAAGCCTGGGCCCAGACCACAAGGCGCAAAGAGAAAGCCAACGCCTACAAGTTGACCTCTGACCTCCACATGTGGCCCACGTGCACATTCACCTAAAAACGCAGACAAAATAAAGTCATTGTAATAAAGGAAAAAAATCCCAACAGTGAAAAAAAATTCACAAACAAAATTAGAAGAGGAAAAAAAAAAACTAAAAATGTAAAGGTATACTAAAGTTAAAAACACTGCTAAGAACAAAATAAACTAAAAGTAAATAGAGAAAAGGAATCTTAAGACTAAAATATAAAGCTGGTTGAGAATTTCTGCACTGCAGAAGGAAGGGTCAGGGACGCTGTTGTCGGGTTCCTATTGGGGAGACATCTGCTGTCAGCCTGCGCTGGTTTCCCCAGGGTACTGTTCTTTCTTCCTGTCCAGAGCACTCTGGGGCCACACTTGGCTGTGTTGTGTAGGCAGGCTGTTTCACCCTTCCGAGACCCCCAGATCTCTACCGCCTGGGCAGCTCAGGACTCAGCTAGGTCGTGCCAACCAAGAGCGCCGAGAGTGTGGGAGCAACCTCAACACTGAGAGCTGTACAATCAAATGGTCTTCATAAAAATTAAACTTAATGATCTGTGGGCAGGACAGATTTCTTGGAGCGCTTCTCGGCATCTGTCTGCAGGGAGAGTGTGTTTACCCAGGATTATCTGTGTCAAGGGCATTTTCTGGACTGTGGGCTTAGTGTTAACATTTATGTTTACCTAAGGCCAGTTAATAAGTTACATGTGGGGCTCTCACGTGCATTGTGTCCACCAGTCAAGTGTCCCCGGGAAGGAACTCCCAGGGGTGTGTGCAGGGGCCGTGTGCAGCCAGCCTTCTCCGCCCACTCTCGGAGGCACAAGCCAGGCGTGTTGGCCCATGACTCAGGGTTTCCTAACAATTTCCACCTCATTGTGACTCAGGCTTTTCCAAGCGGGGTTTGTTCAGCTCCCTGTGCTGCTGTCACACTGTAAGATCACGGGAGTCACATGCTGTGTGCACCTCCCTTTGTGCCATAAGAGAGTCCTCTTTTTTTTTCTTAGAGGTTATTTGAAGCTTCATTTTTAAATTTTATTTTTTGTTTTTGAGAATTTCATATGTGCGTACTGGGTTTCTCTCATTTCCGCCCCTATTCCTCCTCCAGGCTGTTCTGTGTCCCTCATTCTGTCTCCAGTTCATCTTTCTCCTTCTGCATTTATTATTGTTTTACACACACATGTGCATGCACACACACACACACACACCATATCGAGCTCATTAGTGTAGTGCGTGTGAACACATGTTTAGGGTTGACCACTTTGGATCAGATCACCTGTCAGGGGCTTGTCCTTGGAGAAGATGATTCTGTGTCTCCTCATTGATAGCCTGTAGTTCTTCATCTAGAGGTGGAACCTTGGGGAAAGTCCCCATCTGTGTTGACATGTCAACTGGTTTTTGCATTCAAAACCAGGTCTTATTCAGGCAGACTGTTAAGATCTCATGGACTCTGTGTCTCTGACATGTCTAGAAGACACCACCTAGCAGCGGGCGCGCTGGGCCCCCGACGTTAGCAGTCTTTCTCCTCAGCCCTAGTTGAAGGGTTTGTGCTGCGGATCTATCAGTTGGGGCTGGCACCACGTGGGCACTCATTGTTTGCAATTTGAGCACTTATGGATCTCTGTAGTCACCTTGGCACAGTGCAAGCTTCACTTTAGAGGAGAGCTACTTATGGTTTCTAACTTTCTTTGAGTGTTTTTCAAACTCCTGAATGCCTGCCTTAGTTGTCCGTCCTGTGACAGGAAGTTGTTTGTGCATGCGCTCCTTGTCCCCCATGAGTTATGGAGCTTCTGCTTCTGCAGTCCTGGTGGTGGAAATTGTCTCCTTTGCTGGGTTCCCCTGATGCATTGGCTGCAATGCAGTTACGATTTCCCACAGGAACAGGCTCTTGGGTTCCCAGGTATTAGAGAACACACTGAGCACACTCCAACTCTCTACATAAGTTTGGGAGCAAGTTCTTCGGTAAAAAAACGTGACGAAATAGAATGCCGGTTTGCAAGAACACAGAGTATGAGCAGGTGGAGGACCCAGACTTCAATGAGATTATGATAGAGGTCTTGCGCAGTATGTAGTGTTCCTGGGGGAAGGAGGGTCACAGGCAGTTCCTGATGCTCCCTGGAGCTGCCCTGGGTGATGGACAACGAGCAAGTGCTTTTCTTAACTTGGGGGGATGGTGTCATTCCTAAGGGCACTGTGGGGTGAAAGCGTGTACTATGCGTGTCCACACACCTGTCATGATGACCTGTATCCTATTATTATCCTCACTTGACAGTTAATAGGGTCAAGGCACAGCAAGACATGTTTCAGCTCATGTACTAAGTATGTAAAGCTGTGAATTCTTCATGTCTTTCTTCATTTCAGGGCTTCAGGGCTGAGGACTGCAGACTGAGCCTTCCCTCCTCCCAGAATTCTCTTAGTCTGGTCACCCTACCTACACTTCCTGCCTGGCTACAGGCCAATCAGCATTTTATTAAACCAATACAAGTGACAAATCTTTACAAGGTTCAAGACAGCACCCCCGAGGCTGTCATATATGTGCACATGAAAACGCACACACAAACGTCACACGAAGTCACCCCAGCCACACACACACACACACACACACACACACACACACACACACACACACACACACTATGGGGACATTTCCTATAAGCACAAACTCACATAAGACTCACTGGTGTGGCTGTTTGTTGTGAACAAAATTCGCTGAAAAGAACTCCAGGAGGAAACCATGTCTGCAGAGACTGACTGACTGGACCTGCAGGAGTCTAAAGAGACTGGAATTTTGCAGGTTCAGAGGCTAATTACTTTATGTTGGGCTGGTTTTAGCTTCTGGAATGCCCATTTCTTACTTCACTTCATATGTGGAATTAATTAGGGATAATAAATAAAAACCTCTTAGGAGCTATTAACGTAGCAGAAGACCAGCTTCCAGCATTCTAAGAGTTAAGAATGTTCTGGGACAGCATCTGGGCCTACGCATAGCTCCCTGTCTCTTTGTACCTGCCTCTCTGGTATACCGACAAACGTAGTCTAAAGTTGTCTGATTTATGACTTACTTTGGTCTATAAAAACAGCTTCTGAGTTGGAACACAGAATATGGGGTAACCTAACTCTGCGTTCCCAGGCCGTGGTCTCTCAGTGGCTCCAGCAT